GAAAAAATTTTGTAATCATTTTAATTAAAATGAGAAAAGCACAAAAATATTTTCCTTACTTTGCCAATATTTTGAACTCCTCCCCACTCCCTTTTTGTAGTTTACATTTAACACAGCACTATATTTGTTTTAGTTGTTTCTGCTGCTGCTGATTGCATACTTCTGTTTCCAAATGAGATATGTTGTTGACTGGTTAGTTTATAACTCTCATGTTTATAACACTTAAGTTCTACTGTAAAGCATGACAAAATGAGCTGTATCTGTTCAACCATTTTTAGTAGTGGTCTGTCTGTGTTTTTTATTGACAGCACAGCAGACAAGCAGTTAGAGTGTATGGTCAAGTGTCCGATGTACAGGTGTTAGATGGAGAACAGATGGATGTGTGTCTTTGAGAATGTGAAGATTCTGTCTCTGAATTATGCACAGGAAGAGACTGTCAGAAACATGAATTAGTGAAAATTGCACAGTGAGGCATATAACCAAGTGGTGCCTCTCATATGCACTAATAATTTTACAGCACAAAAAAGACACACTAAAGCAGTCCTGTCCAGCTCCTCCCTGGTCCCTCATGAAATGAGAATATATTCTTGAAAAATAGACTATAAAGTGTGTACTTTACATTAGGGATGTTAAGATGCGGGGATAAAATGAATTGAGTAGTTGATAGAATTTTTACTAACTACTCGATTGGTCAATAGGCATCCCAGCTCAGTCCTGGCTCGTGCCAGGTATGGGATCAAATCCCACTGTGGCTCTGCAATTCAAAAGGCAGTAGGAGCTGGGAAGGCTCAATCTCTTCCCCTAACCCTCCACGCTACCCCCCACAGCTCTTACTGCATTTTAAATTGCAGAGCTGCAGCATGGTTTGGTCCCTTACCCAGCACAAGCTGGGACTGAGCCAGGCTGCCTGCCCAGCCAGCAGCAGCCTCTGTGCACAGGGGTCCCAGTAGGGAATTGGGACCTCCTGCGCACAGGGGCTGCCCCCCTTACACACAGGCAATGGGGAAGGAGGGAGTGTAAGTAGTCGACTACTCCCTTACATCCCTACTTTACATGCACCCAACAAGAGGACAACAGATGACAGCTCTATCTTAGTGCTATCATGACATCTCAGCCAGACTGGTGGGGATTGAAAAAACATTTGAATGTGTTCCAACACCATTTTCTCAACAACCTCTGTTGTTGAGAAAGAGACCTGTCAATATCTGGCAAGACTGTTACATCAAGAGATTATTTTGAACAAAGGATAAACCTAGATTTTACATTCTGAATTTTATTTTATCCAAACCTATTCAACAAAATAATCAGTAAATCCCACTCATTGTCAAATTCATCCCCAGTTCCATTAAGAGTTTTTTATGTCAAAAGGATACTGATTATCAGGTCCCTTCTTAGTGGACAAAAACCCCTTTGTAAAAATGACATCATTACCAGTCTTGTTTTGTTTGGATTCACAGAGGACTGAATTCCTCTCTCAGTCACAGAAATGGTCATTCTCAGTCTTAATTGAGGCACATACAAAGACAAATATAGGGCAAATCTATGGACCTGGACACTCCACCTCAAGAAGGACACAAAGACAGTGAAGTATTTACTCTGCAGGTATGTTTACAATGCAGTAAATCTCTCTCTCTCTCTCCCCCCGCTTCCCCCCATTGCTAGGCCAGATCAGCTGAACTGGATGCACAAGGCTTGGACCATGGGGCTATTAAAATAAGGTAGAGAAGTTTGGATTTGGGCTGAAGCTAAGCTCTGAGATCGTGCAAGGAGGGATGGTATAAAAGCCCAGACTCCAAGTCAGCTGATCCCAGCCAGCTGTGGCTCTGCCGTGGATCTTTTACTAGAGCGTAGATCTATCCAATGAGACCAGTGTCAAACAAGATCCAGTGCCCTTAGACAATAGTAGCAGAGAAGCCTCAACAGTCACTGCCTCCTTTTTAATAGATAAATTCAGTTTTCAGCATGTCAGCAATCTATCAACTTTCACAAGGAAGTGAATGTTCTTTCTCTCCCACGGGCATGTTCTCTTTCTTTGTTTGCCTCCTTCCTCCAAAGGAACAGAGATCGCCCCAACTGGAGATGGGATACTAGATGGAATACGCCTACACTGAAGTGGAACTGAAAATTCTCTCTCCCAGCTGCTTGACTAGTGTATCTTGCTTTCATGCTCTGGGTATAATCAATCACCATATTCAAAGTGGGGAAGGAATTTCCTGTCTCCCAGATTGGTAACGAGATCTTTGCCTAGTCCTGCATCCAGTGCAAATACCTTGCTAGGATCATCTGAGTATATCTCACTTAATCCTTGCCATTGAGGGGCTTCAGGCACTGGTGCCCTTCATTCCCTCCAGTTCTTTACCTGAGGTACACAATATTTTAGTTTCCTGAGGGCTGCAATACTTTTCTCTAATTCTGATTGTTGGGCTTGGTGTAGAAGTGGCTGCTTAGTGTTTAGTAGCCTGTTACAAAGCAGAGGTCAGAAGAACACGTACTCCTATAATAACTAAAGATGAGAACATATGAAGAGTAACAAAAAAAAATCTCAATCCTAAATAAGGAAGGCAGTGTATTTCATAAAGTCATAAAGTGGATCAGACAATAAAATAAAAAACCCAGAGCAGTCTCTCAAACTGTCTGTGTTCCTCCTCTTTAAGGTTTCTTGTTTCAGTGTGCTCAAAGAATAATAATTCTAATGAACAAAACAAACTGGTCTTATATTGTCTTATATTGCCAGAAATTAAAACAGAAAAATGTAAGCTTAGGTCATCACCACAGCCAGTTGGGTGTCCTCTTATTCTGACTTGCCATTCCCTTTCTGCTTTCCAAGCCGTTATTCAGAGTTTCCTGCCTCACTACTAAGAAACCTGATTGGGCTGCATCACCAGCCTGACCTCTCAATATCTTTAGTGATCATCTGTGCAACGAAAAACCAAGCTGCATTTAAAGCCCCTCCCCATGTGCCAGTGGTTAGCATCTGCACCCCAAACAAAGTAAGTTAATAAATAGATGCATCATAATACTACTATCAGCAAATAAGAGTTACAGTGAACTATTTTTTCCAACTCTAAATGTTAATATTTTGTCAGGGAACTCCATGCTCGAAGATTACAAAGCATCAAATATGGCTATATGAACAAATACTTATTTTACTCCAAGAAAGTATTCTCTAAAGGGAATTAAGTACTTGTATTTAAAAATAAAAGACAAAAAGAAACTACCATACTCTGCAATGAATTCAAATTCAATATTTCCATGCATAACTGCTAGATTTTCACTTTTTCACATCACCGACTACATTGTGAAAAATGACCATTTATTCCTACCCTTTTTTTCCTCTAGTTTAACCAGTTCTGATCCAGGAGAGGATATTTCCTGTTACGCTGTAACTTATTTCCCTAATAGCTCTTTGTGACAGACTTCATCAAGGACTTTTTGAAAAACCAAAGTACACTATATTGACTGGATCACCCTTAATCACATAACTGTTGACCACATAACAAATTCAAATAGACTAGCTAATTATTACCAGGATTGCCTCTGTAGCGCTCATTAAAAATTGGTACAGGTTACACCTCCCTGGTCTATCGCCCTCAGGACCTGACCAGTTCTGAACCAGAGAATTTGCCAGACCAAGGGAGGTCAATCCCAGCCCCTCTGCTGCTGCCAGCTAAAGGGCTCCACTCTTATGGCAGCAGAGGGGCTGGCATTGACCAAGTAGGGACTGGGAAAGGGGTACTCAGGGGAATATACAGGATGGCAGGAAGTCCCCGTCGCCGATCATGGGGCTGCATATATGGCCCCCATCCCTATATATTCCCCAGAGCGCCACCTCACCTCTGCTCTTTCCCCCTCCTCCTCTTCGCTTGAAACCACAAATGACCAATAATGCGTGTTGTATTCATGGCCTCATTTAATACATGGCATTCTAGTTCACCCATCTTACTTCTAACATTTACATATAAACACTTGTAAATTTAGTCAATATTCAGTTGCTTGCACATGTTATTTTTCAATGGGACTCTACTTCATGACTGCTTCTCACTAGCTCCTACCGGTCACTTACCAACTCCTTTACTAGGATACAAGATTTCCCTAAGGGCCGTCTCTGCCTAAGTCATTTACACCTGTTGGCTTCCCAGCCCTTAGTTTAAAAAAATAGTCTACAATCCTTTTTAATTTTACATGACAATCTGAGTCCATTTTGGTTTAACTGTAGCCCATGCTCCTGTTTAGGGTACTCCATCCCCAGAAGACTCCCCAGTTTCTAATAAACTTAAACCCCTCTGCCCTACACCATTGTTTTATCCACACGCTGAGATCATGCAGTTCTGCCTGCCCTACTGGCCCTGCACGTTGAACTTACTAGAAGCACTGCAGAGAATGTCACCACAGATATCCAGGGCTTTAATCTCTTACCTACAAGCCTACAATTGGACTCAAGGACTTCTCTCCTATTTTTCACTGTTTCATTGATACCTTCATGTATCACAACCACTGGCTCTACCCCGGTACAACCCTGTGCAGTTACCTCGAGGCCTTGCGAAATCAGCTACCTTCATACCCAGCAGACAACTCACCATTTGGTTCTCCTGCTCACCACAAACCCAACTATCCAAATTTCTAATAATTGTAACCTCCTCCCTATTGCCTGTCTCTTTCCAGGCACTGGAGTCTCTGCACTCAAAGAAATATCCTCAGTGTAGGTGGATATTATGACATCCTCTGGAAAGTGAGTCCCAACTATGAGATTGTTTCCCTCTGCTTGAGTTAGATGCTCTCCTGCCTGAAAACTTCATTCCTTCATAATGGAACAGGGGCACTCAGACAGCAGGAGAGACCATCCATGAAAGTCTCTTCTCTGTACCTTTATTTCCCCCCGGCAAGACAAACAGCATTAGCCTAGACAATTTTTTTGTATTCAACATAGTCAGTTAACACAGATAATAATTAATAAAGTTAAGATTTAAGAATTCTAATGAGAAATAATCCTTTATGCTTACCGTTTATTTGGATCTTTTATCAGGAGACCCGAAAGTAATGACTTTGCATCAGATGAGAGAGTTCGAGGGAATTTTATGTCCTCCATTAGTATTAGTTCAAACAGTTTCTCATGATCCTGGTTGTAGAATGGTAATCTCCCACACATCATCTCATACATGACAACTCCGAGACCCCACCAGTCCACTGCACGACCATAGTCATTGTCTTCTAATACCTAAAATATAATTTAAAAAACCATAAATCATATGGATTTCAAATCAAATCTTTTCAGACCATTTAGATTTAAAGTTTTCATATATTTATATTAACATATTTTCAACCCTGCTGTGTTGTAACATGGGGCACAGATTCCCAAAGCACTGGACACAGACACTAATCTTACAAAGTTTATTGGTTATTACAAAAGTGAACCCAAACAATGTTGGCTTAAATTCAACTCATGCTCAATTGTTGTATGATAGCACAATCACTACTTATGTAAACGTCTCAGACAGACAAATAGAACAGAGAATATAGTCATCAATGTGACCAATGAATTTTTCCTCTCCCTAGTCCTTCACCATTACCCTATCATTGGGCCTTCAATTTCAGGAACAGAAGGAAAAGCTTAATTTACCAGCCACCAAGCTTAATTTACTGGCCAACACTGTCTTAGCTCCTCTCTGACTCCTGTCTTAGGGGGGATTTCCTCTCTCTTCCTCCGCAACTACCTCCTCTCCTCACTTAGGCTCTCCAACTGCAGGAGGGGTATCTAGGAGTTAAAAAAAACATTTTAATACTCTAAAAGTATGCATATCTTCCTAGCAAGCTCTTCATATGCTAGACCCCCAGCTATACTTTCCTTCACAATCCAAAGCACAGAATACCAGAACTGATTCTGGTGCACTGAAATCCATTTGTCTCCATTGTTTATGGCTCTAAAGGACTTATGTCAAAACCCATCACCTCAATATCCCCAGAAACAATTGGGGGGGAGGAGGCTTAAGCAATCTAGGCAAGCTGTTTTCAATACACCTTAATAATAAAATGGATAAAGGTATCACTGTAGAACATGGTCCTAAAAAATCCCTAAAAGTACCTTTAAAACTGTGTGAAAATTAAAAGTTAATATGAATTCCTTTATATGAAAGTCACTGTAATTTTAAGTGCTTGGGGCACAAATATTTACTCAGGATAGATATGCTCAAGAGACAAAATGCAAAATACAACTTTATTTGGAAAAGCATCTTTTAAAGAAATGGTAAAGGAAATAAGAGGTTTTCCTCTGTGACTTGACAACAAAAATGCAAAGACAGAGGAAGACTTGTCCAGACAAAAAAAGCTGCTGAGATTTCACAATGACAAAACTGTACAGAGTAGCCCAGGGAGTGGTCAGCTAAATGAAGCAACATGAAATGGAAGCAGAGGGAGACAAGGTTCTGGAAGTCAGTTACAGTCAATGCGGAGATACAGGAGGAAGGGTGTATTTAAAAAAGAGAAACCCAAATTTACTTTTAACCTTGAAATGAACAAGGAGCCATTGTAACTGGGCATGAGAATGTACTTATTTGTACTTGTGACAGAACAGCAAGCAACATCTGCACATGCTAGAGTATGAAGGCATACGCCTTTGGGAAATGACAGAAAATGGAGTTGCAATAGCCAAGATGAGAGAGAAATGGTTGGATTATATCAATACTACTTTAAAGGACATTTATGTAGTAGCTCTACTGTTGAATGCTGAAATAAAAAAGCAGCAAATCTGAAACAATCACGCAAAACACAATTACAGGCAGTCCCCGGGTTACGTACAAGATAGGGACTGTAGGTTTGTTCTTAAGTTGAATCTGTATGTAAGTCGGAACTGGCGTCAGCCGCTGCTGAAACTGACCGCCAGTTCTGACTTACATACAGAATCAACTTAAGAACCCCAAGCGTCCCCAAGTCAGCTGCTGCTGGAACTGATCAA